GTGCCTTAGCCAAATTCGAAGTCAAAATATGTATATTTACATACAGTTAGGTTACTTTTGTACGCAAAGATTTTTATACTAACTCTAACTGCCAGTTCTCAAATCAAGGTCGTAGATCGGTCGAAAAGAACTAGCAGACTCTTATCTCAAACCGGTTCTCAAACGAATTTATTCATGAACAAAGGGGTATACACACATTAAAAACGTATAAAATGAACATCATTAATTGACAATAATTATAGAGCAAGATCCCAGGGCCGCCAGACGTCACGTATTTTCTGACGGATGAAATGTGGACGATTGGGTAGTGTTAGTATGTACTATGATCGTATGCCTACCTGCTAGCTTGGTCAAACGGCCAATTTCCAGGTATCAGGTAATCAAGGTACACAAAAACATTACTTACTTCACGTAAATTCTCATGGCTGATTTTTATATATGTTTTCGAGTGTATAGTTAAAAATAAATTGTCAATACTCCCAGACACTTTCCGTCGGCCATATTGCTTAACAGACGCTTTAAGGGTCTCAAAATAATTAGTCAACTTCACGTAAATTCTGACGCTCCATTTTTATATATGTTCATCCGACAACTATTTTAAAAGCTTTGACAAGAAGACAGACCGATCCAAGGGGCCAATCATCCCCTAAACTAAATTTTAATATCTCTATGAGTGAGAGAGCATTATCTACGCGCATGAGACTGAGTGAGACCGACTGCGCTGTTAAAGCCATGAAAATTACTTGAACAGATATTTTATAATTTTTAGAACTTTTGTTGACAAGTAAATTATAGCAACAAAAATAAGAAAAATTTTTACACATAATAAATAATACTAAAGTTAGCCGACATTTTTTTTTTTTCAATTTATTAATTAGAACTAAAAAATATTTTTTAAAAATACCACTTATATTTAAATAGCAGCAATTTTTTTAATTAATTATTTATTGGAAATTTGGAAATAAAGTGGAAAAATATTAATTCTTCAATATTTCTTAACAGTGGCTTTTAATCTTCATTATCATCATCATCAAATATCAATCTTGAAATTGAATATCTAAATCGTGATCGTCATCATCAGCATTATCCTTATTTTCTTCCTCTGTAAAAAACAAGTTAAACAATGAAGGTCTGAAAAAACTAAAAAGATACAAATAATATGAGAAACGAAAATAATTTACCTGATTGTTCTTCCAGCGACTCACTGACAAAACCCGGTAATTGATCTCCATCGAACCGATGAAAATCATATTTACCATCTTGTAGTGTCCAGCCATTGTTTTCGGGGTTGAAAATATTTATCATCTTCATACTTGCATTGTTCCAAAGCTAGCCCGTCGAAACTGTTGCCAAAGCTCACTTTTACAAGGTGGTAAGTTACTGGCATCGAAGTTTCTTAAATTCTTTCGATTGAATTCTTCATTTATATCAGATACCATGTATGTAAATGATAAACAACTGTAGTCTGGCAGCATCTACATCAATTATTCCAGGAACTTTGTAAACATCACAGATAAATGTTGTATTATGTTGAATACACGTTCTTCTTCATCTACATCACCAACAAAATCCAACGTACCAAAACGGTGAAATGCTTTGTTGGTACTCTTCATTTTTCTTCAAAATATTAAACGGCTTTTGCTTGCCCTTTTTGAATAATAATAATTTTTCAAGTAATTTTCATGGCTTTAACAGCGCAGTCGGTCTCACTCAGTCTCATGCGCGTAGATAATGCTCTCTCACTCATAGAGATATTAAAATTTAGTTTAGGGGATGATTGGCCCCTTGGATCGGTCTGTCTTCTTGTCAAAGCTTTTAAAATAGTTGTCGGATGAACATATATAAAAATGGAGCGTCAGAATTTACGTGAAGTTGACTAATTATTTTGAGACCCTTAAAGCGTCTGTTAAGCAATATGGCCGACGGAAAGTGTCTGGGAGTATTGACAATTTATTTTTAACTATACACTCGAAAACATATATAAAAATCAGCCATGAGAATTTACGTGAAGTAAGTAATGTTTTTGTGTACCTTGATTACCTGATACCTGGAAATTGGCCGTTTGACCAAGCTAGCAGGTAGGCATACGATCATAGTACATACTAACACTACCCAATCGTCCACATTTCATCCGTCAGAAAATACGTGACGTCTGGCGGCCCTGGGATCTTGGACCATTATTAAAATACAGTGGCGCTACAACCTCTTATGCAAGTAGGTGATCAGCCTCCTGTGCCTGACACACGCCGTCGACTTTTTGGGTCGAAGGCAAGTCGGTTTCCTCACGGTGTTTTACTTCACCGTTCGAGCACATGTTAAATGCGCACATAGAAAGAAAGTCGATTGGTGCACTGTCGGGAACCGAACCTACGACATCAGGGAGTCGCAGAATCCACAAGGCCAACACTGCTGACAATAATTATTATTTGATTTAATATAAATCTCAAATAGCCATTGAATTTATACTGACGATAGACTAAACAATATTAACAAAAGTTAAATTAGAGTTGCATTTAATTTGATCTCTTCTCAAGAGGCGTTTAGTTCTGAGAATTTATTATAAAATAGCGTTCTCACGTATCATACTCTGAATTCTAGGAACTTATTATTCATCGCACGATTTCATTGTAATCGAATCCGCCCGCCCTAAGTCGCTTGTATTCTATCAAACATATTCAATATATTAGTAGTAATTGCTACTTTAACGAGTTATATTGTAAAAGTATAATAAAATCTAACACATTTCACCCTACGTTGAGAAGTGGTTTCCTCCTTGGACAATTTCAGTCCTTATTATTATTATTAAAGCTTTATTAATCTATACAACAATTGGTTTATTTGTGTATGGCCCCTTTTAGGGTAAAAGCCTCCTCCATATTTTTCCATTTCTCTTTGCCTTGAGCAACATTCATCCAATTTTCCCCCGCCAATTCTATAATGTCATCTGTCCATCTTTTCTTTTGTCATCCTATCCAGTAGGTCCAACCCATTCTGTTATTTTCAGCGTCCATCTTCTATCCCGCGCTCTAGCAGTATATATTGCTATTTCAGTCCTTAAGTACTATTTAATTAATTATATGTTACAACAACATTGTATGAAATTCTAAGTACCTTAGAAGCTTTTGTAGAAAAGTCTACGAATTCCTAGAAATTACACACTCCCCAAGTCCTCCAGAATATACGCCAGGTGCGTTGCCAAGCAACGAAAACGGTTGGGATACCTATAATTTATTTCTAAATAATTCGTACACACACATTGGCAGTGAGTTTAAAACAGTATACAAGGGCGAGCAGCTTCAAGAATGAATGAATTGACCTCATTTTCCTGTAGGCGTTCAATATTTAATTCACCTTTCTTTTCTTATGGCCACTTTATTTCTTTGAAATTGTAGTACAAAAGGAGTTCTTGGAATAGTTTGTAGATTATAATTGTGTATATTATGATGTGTTGTGTTTTTTTGTTTATATAATTTGCATTTCACTACTTTAAATGTCGAATTGGTATAATAAATTCCTACTATTATTTTCTACTTACCTACCCCTGGCACTGAAATATTTATTTAACAACAACACACAGGCCTTACACACTTAAAACGTAGCTTGTTCTTTAAAAGAAAAAAAAAGGTTAAACTTTTTTGAATATTATTATTTTGTGCGTGTGTTTACTGTTTTGTTAATAATAATTGTTATGTCCATGTTAAATAAGACTGACGAATCATTATTCATATTTGAGACTTCTATGTAGTGTTTTCTTGAAGTAGAAATATGGTGCATCAATGGAGCATGATAATTTAAAGCATCAAACAATAATTGTCACAGGAATTGAACCCCAGACTGGAGTTGTATGTTGTATACTGGAAATGCGTGAACAATTTGGCGTTCATATGATGAATTGTAAATTTATAATAATACATAACTTTAATCCGGTTAAAAAGTTCTTTCTTTAAATGTGTAAAGGTTATATCAATAAAAGATAATACTACGTTCATATGATGTTAAGTTTGTGAATAAGACCGTAATTAATCTTAACCCTTAGCAATTACGAATAGTATTTTGTCATTATATACTTTAACTATATTTTAAAACGCCATAAGACCTCCCATAGAGTGAACAATTAGAATTATTTCTACTCCTCTACCCGTAATGGTTTAAATCCTTATTAAGGCCGGCCTCTAATAAGGAATTGTGTGGGGACATAGGTTGCCTTTGTACACTCATGTTAAATGCAGAAGTACCTCTACCGATCCTAGGATAACATCAATTATGGGTTATGACTGTTGAAAGGGTCTTTTTGGATACGTTCGTGTGTCAGTATTTAAAAATAAATAGATAACATTTGTTTAAATAATAGTTTCCTGGGACTGTAATACGTTTTCTGTTTTACATTTTACATGGTACAAACATTTAGTTCTTGATTTATGAGAACTGCTTAGGTGAAACTTTTACCAGCTTAAGAATAAATACTAAGACATAGACCTAGGCTGTTTTATGTTAAATATTATAACAAATTGAAGAAGAATAAAGTCTTTCGTCTGATTGATCAAAAACATTTCTAGTTTAATAACTAAAAGAACAATTCTTTCGGTTCGACTAATCACAATGAATTCTTTCGATAACTACCTCTTTAAAAAACCATACAATTATAATTGATGGGAATTATAGGATTCGATAGTAATTTTACATATAAAAGCGGTTTATATCATATATTCAGTGAAGCTTTTTTGTGTTATGCCCCAACTTATCCTTTCTAAAATTCTTATGTCCCCTATGGTATAGGTACATAATTTTTGAAGAAAAAAATTGAATTGTTCGCTTAAGAAACTAAAATGATAGTTTTTAACAACGAAACATAGTAAACATCTAATGAAAAACTGAAATTCAAATTCCAAATAATTTGAATAAATTTACGAACAGCCCCCTTAACAATCAAACTGCCCATCTGTATGGCGTGGCCCCACGTTGGGAATCATTAATATAGTTTATAAAGTTAAAGCCATACTTTAGTCTTCCTTTTTCTTATCCAGATGCGAGGATGGTGGAGGCGGCGCGGCGACAGGCACGGGAGGGCGAACGGCTTCGCTCCGACTGGCGAACGGGCGAGTCGCGGCGCAGTCGGCGGAACATCTACCGCACTCGCCCGACTGCGCCTCCGTGCGGATATCCATGGACAACACAAATACATGCTGCACGGATTCCCTCGTCACAGCCTTAGATGATGAGACGCTGTTACTCGGTAAGTCTTTGCTCTCTATCACATGATCAACACCTGGAGAAATTTAAATGTACAAAACGAGTATATAATATTGATAAATTCCCCCAGCTGCCCACTGAAGTATTTCCGAACCAATTCGACTTAGGGTCCTTCAAGAAAAGGGCGTAGCAATTCTTAAAAGGCTGGCAACGCACTCGCGAGCCCTCTGGTATTAAGAGTGTCCATGGGCGGTGGTATCACATAACATCAGGTGAGCCTCCTGCCCGTTTGCCCCCAGTTATATATATTATCTTAGAATCGGATATACTTCTAATACACTAATCATCTAGTTAGTTACTTTATTTTCATGTGATCTTTATTAACTCGCACTAAAATAATACATAGGAGATACTGTCAAGATATTTCCGGTTTAGAATAGTATAGACGATACAAATACAACAGTAAGCAATATTTCCGTCCACAACTTTCTATTTAACGATAAAATCTTATGATTTAAATTTTGATATATTTTTTTTAGATTTTATGATTATAACTTTACCCAACACAACATTGCAGATGAACGTTTACCTATATTTTGTAACAAAAGATTTCCTGTAGTGACTCAAGGTGCTATAATCGTGGTGTAACCTGACCGATATAGAACCATATGCAATTGAGCATTTATTTGCAAGTATAATAAAACAGTATTAAATTCTTTATCACACCTCACAATAAATTTCATATTATTTATAAATCATATATGGTATGTCAACAGAATTATCAGATATAAAATTTATTTCATAAAAAGTCTTGCTATACAAATGATTTATTATATCCCATTATTAAGTAAAGATAAAAAGAAAAGAGCGTACCAATTCTACAAGGCCGGCAATGCACTTGCGAGTCTTCTGGCAATGTGAGTGTCCATGGGCATGGTCCATTTAACATATTACATTTAAAAAAGTAGCATATCTTTGGTGAAAATCAGATATCTTGTTAAATTTGGATCGAATACAAATAGGTAGGATGTTTCCGGTTTAAATTCTACAATGATGCGATGTCTGAGTATTTTGATGATGCATTCATGATGTTAAATCTGTAATAAATTTGTAAAACTTTTTCGTCTCTTTTTTTCAAATTGGGCTTACGCTGCAATAAAAAGAGATGTGTACTTTAAAATGAAATAATATATTTTTATATAACAGCCACGTTTTAAGTATCACACAATCGTTGTTTAGACGCTTGCCAGCATAGACATAACATTATAAATTAATTTTCTTAATATTTTTCTTGATCCGCAATACCTTTCATATTCACATAATAACTCAATCATTGTATTAATACTACGTCATAATACTTTTTATAGTCATTAATATCGTGTTATCGTACAATAACATACCTATAACCTTTTGCATTAAGATTCGATTAAGACCAAATGCTTTCAGCAGGTACTTATATATTAAGGCTTTATCACGTGTTCAATTACTACCGAGCTTTTTGGTGTTTTTCAGTGTAAAAACTGCTTGTCGTATAATGTGAAAATATAATTATTACAATCACAATAATTAAACCTAATTAAAATAATAACAATTTTATCCTACGTAATAATAATTAAAAATGAATAAATAGAAAACTAAAAAAAAAAGTTTGGTCCCTGTAGCAGTGCAGATGCCTTAAATGCTGGCAGCATTTCCTCGCTGTATTGCGATACTTATTGGTTGAGCGAGGAGAGCACCAATTCTGGGGTCAGCAGTTCTATCAACCAGGCCGTGTTAAATCTTTAATTAGCACCTGTGCACTCGCGCGGCCAGATTCTCCACTCCACAGAGAACAAAATCAAAATTGGATGAAAAACTCATGTGTTTTTACTGTTTATTAATTTCCGCCTGCTCTGCGGCAGCGCCAGAATTTGTCCTTGTCGAAGGAGGTGAGACGGATCTTTGGCTTTTATTTTTCATTCATTATAATTATAATGAAAAACTACCCGATTGCTAAGTTTTATAGTAGGTTCCAAGTTAAAAATTGTTTTAAGCAGGAATTAACTTGAAAATAAACAATTAAAAAAACACGTAATTTAATATTAACCCCATTTAATAGAATTTGATTTTGAATTCGTAATAGTATTTTAATTTGTAAATCACAAACTCGTCTTTATCTCTGCTCATCTACAATGAGCTTTAGACATAAAAAATGCTTTAAAGCTTTCAAATTAAATTCACGTCATATTCAGGTGGTATTATAAATAATTAAATTATAAACCTCCTTTTAGTTTGTCCGTTAAAAATATCTAAACATATCCCTTGCATCTTGCAGGGTTTAATGAGATGTTCACAAACTATACAATAATATAAAATAGATTCCTGTACCTTTAATATGGGAAAAAAAAAGATTTTACAACTCTTCGATCGACTGCCGACCTGTGCGGACGTCTGCTCCTGCGCCATCCTGCTGCCATCTCGCTCACTCGCTGTGAGTCATCGCCGCTTGCCGCTGTACAGTGCGCACGCGCTGTCCGACTGCTGCCTTGCTGCCCGCTGCCCTCTCATTGGTCGCTTCGCGTCTTCGGTGATTGGACATCGCGTTTGAAGGCTGCAATTTATGAGCGCGGGTTTACCTGCGGCCGTCCGATAGCCACCTAACGGTGCCAAACGGTTATCGAACGGTTAACGCCTTGTGCGGGTGTTTTGTCCGGGGTGCATACACCGTGCCTTTTTCAAGGCGCGAATCAGCCCCTCCGCTTCCTCCAAGTCCTGTGCGCAGCCGGGCCTCTTAGTAGGCACTTATTAGGGAGTAGGCACACCAACTACTCTCTTGAAACCGGCTTCAATCAGGTCCACTGTTGGACGGGTCCTGTCACATCCGCAGGGCCTCTATTTACCCAAACTCCTGCGGGCTGGTTAGGTCTGTGACAAACCTCACCTCCGCTATCACCAGCGGAGACACATACATATTAGGGCAAACCACAGCTTAGGTACTCACACGTTAGACGTAGGTACACACTCGCCGCCAAACTGTATTGCTTCCCGCATACAGGATGGCGTCCGAGGTTCAACCGCCCGATCTAAATAAAATATTGTCATTTTTAAAAGAGCGTTTTCCGGACGCTATTAAAGCTTTTTACGAGTCAGAGTGCACTGACTCACCCCGTTCGCCGTCTCCGTCTCCGCGTAAGACGAAAAAAATGCCTCCGCGAAGGCATCGCGCAAAAATAGCATTTTACTAACCGACCAATCCCGTGCTCGCTCGCGCTCGCGCTCGCCACTCCCTGAAGTGGGAAGCGCAAGCGATGGGGAGACGGATCTAGCGCGTCCCTTGTCGGCAATGTCGGCCCAATCCGCTCCGGCGGAAACGGTTGACGAAGCCGTATTATCTTCATCCTCGGAATCCGACGGATTCCAAACCGTCGGACGTAAGAAAAAGCGTTCGGCCAACGGTGGTCCACCCGCGAAAAGGCCTACACAGCCGACTAACCCTCCGAAGAGGGGACTTAAGTTCGTTATTATCGGACAAACCTGCGCCCTCCGCCCCGCGGCGGATCGCATCAAAACCCCGCCGCCCGTCTATGTTAGGGACAAGGGCGTATGGCCCACCCTCTCAAAGCTTCTCGACACTAAGTCGATTAGTTATAAAGCCCGTACGTTGAGGGATAACATTTGCATACAGGTGTCCTCACCTGAGCACCACCGGTTCCTTACCTCTTACCTTCGCTCCGAAGGTATCGGTGGTCATACTTTCCCCTGCCCGAGGAACGCGTCCTTAGGGTAGTCATTAAGGGCATCCCGAAGGAAATAGACTCCGGGATCGTCCAATTAGATTTGACCGAACAGGGATACCCCGTAAGGGATGTATTCCGTATGTTAAACCGCACCACCAAAGAAGAGTACGATATGGTACTAGTAGTCCTAGACCCTACTCCGAGCGGGAAAAAGATTTTTAACCTTAGGGAGTGTTGTAAGCTCTCGGGGTTGAGGGTTGAAACTCCCTCAAACATTCCTTCACACGGCAGTGTCATCGCTGCCAACTCTACGGGCACGCAGCCCGTAACTGTTTTGCTAGGGCGCGGTGCGTCAAGTGTTTAGGCGACCATGGCACATCGGACTGCAAGCGCACTCTTCCATGTGCCGAGCCGCCGGCATGTGTGCTTTGCGGGCAACATGGGCACCCTGCGAATTATCGCGGTTGTCCTAGAGCCCCAAAGGCGCAAAAGCCGCCGGCTAGGCCATGGTGGGACCGATGCGGCCCGTCGTGGCACGGGAGCAAAGCCCACATACGTGCCGGCCCCGCCTCCCGAAATCAGTCCCTGGGCCAAGCCCCCGTACGGAGGGCCCCTCCCAACTCACGACAGAAGCTTTCCCGCCTCTGCCATCTAAACCCGCAACCGCAGCGCCTTCCCAGGTCCCTGCGCCAACCCCTATCTTAAAAGAGAGGCCCACATCAAATCGACCCTCCTACCAAAGCCCTCAGCCCTCCCGTGAAGGCATCTGAGGAATCAGGCAACGTCCGCGACGCTTTTAATCTCGCGATTAGCGTAATAGACGCTATAGACTTGGACGCACTCGTCGCATTCGCGGAAGCCTTTAAATCCGCTAAAACTGCGTCCACAAGGTGGAGGTAATAACCGAGCACGCCCTGCTCCTTAAATCCGTGCGGCAATTCGTAAATTCTAACGCACCGCAATAGCTACGACCACGTCTAGGGTCAAGGCTCGATCACTGTCCGTAGTGACTTTCAACGCGAACGGTTTCAAGCCACAGTCAGATTTAATTCGGGATTTCCTCGTTCGCCACCCAATTGATATTTTCCTAGTACAGGAAACGTTCCTAAAGCCCAGCGTTCGCGCACCTAGATTCGCGAACTACGTCGCGGTGCGAAACGACCGACCTACGGCGAAAGGCGGTACGCTCATTTATTATAGACGTGCGCTTCACTGCTCACCGTTAGACCCGCCCTCCCTAATCAACATAGAGTGCTCTGTGTTACGCGTGGCTATGACCGGTCATCAGCCGATTATCATCGCATCGGTGTACCTCCCTCCCACTAAGGACATATTAGAGAGCGATCTTAGGACCCTGTTTGCACTGGGCCCCTCGGTCTTACTGGCCGGGGACCTGAATAGCAAGCACGGGGACTGGAATAGCTCAAAACAAAACCCTAATGGGCGAGCCCTCAGTAGGCTTATTGACGTACTCGATTTTAATGTCATTGCCCCCATTCATCCGACTCGTCGCGGTATAAATTGTAACGGTCTTCTCTCAACGGACGTCCTAGACGTGGCGATTCTACGCAACGTGGCACTACAGCCGCGAAGCATAGAGGTGCTACACGAATTAGACTCTGACCACTTCCCGGTTCATTTTGAATTCGGCCCTCCTAACACCCAAGAGAAGAGGTACAAGTCCATTGTCGACTGGCGGAAACTAGACGAGGCCCTCAAGCCCGTCGAAGTCTCTGACCTTAATAACATCCCCGACAATTTAGTCTCGTCCGCTCACGCGTTAGACGCGCTCTCCTCGGTCACATATCACATTCAGACCAAGGTCGCCGAATCGTCCCGGAAGGTCCCAGATGAGTTCGCTCAACGTTGGGAGCTTCCCCGGACGCAAGGCGCTTACTGACCGAGAAGAACGCGGCGACTCGCGCCTTCGCTAGGGCACCGACCGATGATAACCGTAGAGCACTCCGCGCCGCGCACGCCGAGTTAAAGAGCGCATACGGGAAATTAGAAACGAACGCTGGGACCGT